GTAAAAAAATCAGGGTATATTCCCATTATTTGAGCCATAACATTTAAGTACAAGTTACGTCATTTGTGTCCTTTACACCACCAACTGATGCTATTGTCATTTACTTCAATATTTGCTTTCGAATGACGAAATTTCATCCAAAAAAGCTCATGTAACAACCGGTTTCACCAACCTTTTTTACATTTTTTTCACTCTTTAACAATTTCCATGTAAAAACTCAAGCTGGTCCAGTGATAAATCAAAATAAGTGAAAATTTTTCAAAATTCATAATGAGTGGAGGAATTCTCTGGTCTCTATCTGGTCTTGATATCCCTTGATCACTTTGCAGAAATGTCAGCTGAAATGCTAAACATTCAACGGGATAAATTCTCTAACCAAGACTTCGAAATATCTTTATCCTTAATTTAGTTTTTTAAAAATCTAGGAAATAAACCACATTGCACTTGTCATTCTCTATTCACTTGAGTAAACTATTTCAGACTGAGAACTGTTCTTAAATTACCGCATGATTGTTACAATTTCTAGAGTATGTCAGGTCGTTAACTGAAGAATTTTAAGTTCATGGCAAGTCTGAAAAATGACGAGGTTGTTAGAGCTAGGTTATAGTAACCAGCGGATTATTTCCTTTCAACAAGCATATCTATAGGCTTTCAACGGCATGTGAAAAGGTGTATGCTATTTTTACCGTGGTGTATACTAATTGTTTGGCGAACACCGCATGAACTGGTACACCAAAGGGATGCGATTGAGCAATTACTGAAAAGAATTCTTGAATTAAAGGTACAACCAGTGAACCGGAAGAATAACTAGCTTCATTGGTAATACTGACCTGTTTCAACTAGCGGATGCGGAGGGAAATCGATCGGTACAACAACAATTGTCTTATTATAATAATTTGCATATTACTTCCTAGTAATAATACCACTTGCAATGTTGGCTACTTCTCTCTCTTTCCGCTTCTTTCGTTTCCTTTCTTCTTCTTTCTCTTCTTCACTTTCCAAGAATTACGTCACTACTTTTTTGTTTTTGGCTGATTTCATAATGAAGGAGTCGAAACTACATTCTATTTGCATAGGGCGCTGCATATTGCTGCGTTGCAGGTACTATTGCAGTTTGGCAGATTAGCCAAGCTGTCAAATTGCTATCTTCTCTATCGCCGCTTTTTTGACATCTAATTTCGTTATTCAGAAGCTATTAATCTAGTATTTTGCTGTAAAATTACGAAAACTTCATGATCAATCCCTAAAAAATTGATATATTTATCTAAATTGAAGTTTATTGAATTACTCAACATTAATTCACGACCTTAGCTCATTCAACCAGGTTGTCCAGAAAATGCTGGTATTGATTTCTCTTTGAAATTAGTATTTTTCTGTTACAGCATAACTTGGGTTGCAAATAACAAACTATTGAAGTTGGGAGCAATTTGTCAGTGTTTGTCATATGTCACAGTGAGTGCTTATTTGTTTGATGGGAACCTGATAAGAAATGATTGGAGTACCTTGACATAGTTACGTCAAACCATGACATGCAGATAAGCAATCAAGATACTGGGGGCATGAAGCCTACCTCATTGTGCTTCCTAACTTCATGGCTTATCACCATAACTTAGACAGTAATTGGCAACTTTTTTTTTCAATGGTCACCAATACCAAATTACTACATTAATGATTTGAACATTTTTTAAAACATACTAATGTAGAAAATCATAATGCTGGAATTTAAAAGCTGCTCAAAAGCTGCTTTGTTTTAAAACAGAATCGAACCTTTAGTAGTGCAAAATGTATACATTACTTACAGTTCATTGCTTAATCAACCATATTTGAAAATTTCTTGTACAAAACAATTATACTCAACGTGAATTCGGACTTATTTATTTCTGCTTATTGCTCTTCGTTTTCTATCCGGACCGCTTAACTTTTCATTTGGCTATTCATCTTTCTGAAATAAATTGCAACTTTTTTTCTTCGAAATTAAGAAATTCCAATTAAAAATGATATGAACTCAAAAACATTGTGCATCTACTAGAAATTAAAGTTCTTTTAGCTGTAACCTCAAGAATTAATTCCTGTATACAATAAAGCAATATATTTTTTATTTCGAATAACGAATTTTTGAAATTTCTTCCATTCAAAATATTTTGATGCAAGCAAGGAGTTGATGTTTTTGTGAAATGTTCATTGTTATGGCACATCAATTTGACAGTTGGGTTGGTATCTTTTCGCTAAACACAGTATGAGCTGCAATCAACGAATCATATGCAACAAAACATAGTTTCTGTGTATCTGTCAATCAATCTATCTTAAATTATTGGGACTGATTAATTAGCCATTCGCATATGACATTTACAAACTTGCAATCTATCATTTTCTTCCTAACAAGGAACTTTGTAATTAGACTTTCAGTAATCTATTTATTAATAAACTGGTCCTTATCATTTTCGATTAAGGACCAAATGTTGCATTTCTTCGCAAATAATGTACTAATATTGCGATTAAAATAAAAAAAGTTTTGCTACCGTATAAATTATCTTCTTTTGAAATACACTTCATTTTCTTGGATAAAATTTCTGTAAATTATTCAGCTCTAATGGCAAAAAATCAATGTCAATGAAAAAAAAAAAACAGAAAAGGATGTGCAGAACACGTGAGTAGCATAAATTCAGAATAGCATTTCGAGTCTATTCGATTGGAAAGAGAAAGGGCGAATTATGGATGAAGTTAGATTAGAAGGATTAGCATTTGAGCTCGTTATAAGCATTGTAATGTATCTATCAGCATTGCTATGTCTTTCTCAAGCCAATACTATCAACCTATCTAACTGCATATCCTGTTCTTCTAATTCATACACTGTATAATAACTGCAACAAATCATGAAGTGTTTCAAATTTTAACGAATTTATTTCTCTTTCCGTTTTGCAAGAAATTTACTAGAATTCGTCTTCTGAATAATAAAATGCAAAAAATCTTTCGACTGGAATTTCAGCATTTCAGTTCATTATTACTTTAAATAACAAATGCAATCAAGTGTTTAAATGACAGAAAATTTCTTAAAGGAAGATTAAAACTCAAGAATGCTATGGATCCAATGAAACTTTAACAAAATTACTGCGGATTGTAAGTGTTTAGTAGTGTATTTTTAATTTATTCTTAACTTTTTGATATACTTTGCAAATAATGAAAAGTCATTACTTTTCAATTTAATGAAGAGTGATTTTAATATTGGGAGAAAATTATTTAAATTTAAACTTATTGTTGCGTTAATTATTCTTGCTATGTTGTGTAGTAAATAGCTAGAATGACCTTCATAATCAAATTAAAAAGTGGAAACAGAACAGAATGTTTAGCCTATCAGAGTGCATTACTCCATCGTGTAAAAAATCCGACGACAATTGAACCTAGTTTTCAATTTCAGAACAGTTTAATTACCCAGTCATCGAATTTGATTTACACGACCAAAATCACAAATTCACGTGAATAGTGTTGGTGGCAAAAAATCCCATGCAATGATATGAAGGATAAGGGTAATCTATAAGATGATTTAATAACACGCAGTTTGATTGCAGCAATCATGCTTCAGTCGCCTCTCTTTAGAAATTGCAGGATGCTTCGCTAAGCAAAAAATATGCATGTACTATGCGTGAAATTATCGTAGTCACCTTATTTTATGTATTTGATTTTCCACAAGTATCTTAGAAAATCTTACGTTATATCTTAAAATTAATAAGCATTATGAGATTTGTGATTTGTGAGTCAGATTTGCAAGCATGCTACTATTCAGAACTGAAACTTCACTCTTTTGCTTGGATTCGTCGAACGACATAGTTAAAGTAAGCGTGGCTAGTAATGTTTGTTGAAGCAAATTTGGGAAGGGTTAATGGTTTCAGGGTATATGAAGTAAAATGGAGCTAGACTTATGTAGAAGCCATGAAGACGTTATTCTGTTGCTTAATTTAGCATCAATAATAGATACAGAATCTATATCAATTTATAAGTTTTAGTTAAGAAGGCAAGAGAGAGTAATAGAGAAGGAAAGGACTGAGTGAGGATGATAAACACCCAGCCAAGGCACCACTTAATTGATCTGCTGATTTTTTTATTTTCGAAAAATTTGTGAGTTATTAGAATACCACCGTTGATATTTGTATCCAATGTGACAGACCGTTAAGCAAACATTTTTTCAAATTTCCTAACAAAATTGATGTATAACAGGAAATAAATACGAAAGATAGAATGGTCAAGAAGGATGATTACTCAGGAAAAGTGGAAAACAGGTTGACAGTATAAGAATTGCAAATTTAATGGGAATGGATAATATTAATTTGAGCACTCATAAGTGTACTTCAGTAACCAAAGAGTAACTGGATGAAGATAGAGGGGATGCAAAAAGAGATGAGCGGGCAGAGTTCCAAGTGCATGCAATTTTAGAGCAGGGGTAGAAAGCCCATGGATACGGTAACTGCCCGTAACTGATTGGTTTATTTTATTTCCATTGATCTGCTCTATTGGCTCATATAATGCTAAACGTTCCGTCCCAACAAACCCATGGAAGACTTTGCTTTCAAAATTAAAAACTTACGTTGGAGGCGTTGCGGCTTGCGGTGCGTATGTGTGCAACTGCTGCCTGTGACACGGAAAAGAAGGCAAATTTGTAGACAACATATACATGCACACACACATACACATACAACATACACATACACATACACACTAGGATCGAATGATACAAGACGGTGCGCTGGAACAAGCCTTTTTTGGACGTCCATCCAAAAGTGATTCAACTCTGCTATTCTAATCTATCCTGGTAAATCTTTCCTACTTACCCTTAATCTTACCTACTTCATTAAACAAACTTTTCCTAAATCAAAAGGACGAGAAACTTTAGAATGAGTGACCAGAGAGCTACACTAAGAAAGGCAGTTATGCTCTTCAGAGAGAAATGCAATCGGCTTGCGATTATTTTCAGTACCTATTAGTAGGTTGCCTTCTTGATCTGTGGAATGGCTGTTTCGTTGCAAAAAAAAGGTACATTCGCGAACGTTATAATGTAAGAAGAAAAGGATAGCCATGAGTGTAGTTGGTGAAGCAGAAACAACTGCACAGCTCACATACAGACATCGAATATACGCCTGATTAGGCCCTTCGCCTATCGCGTGTCGGTTCACTTAGTTTTCAGCGAAATCATTTGATTTCACGCGTGAACTGCCACCCCTTTCCTTTTCTCCCAAATGCACACCATCAGTGGCAGTAGCAGGAGGAGCAGGAGTAGTAGCATCATCATCATCTCCAGCGTCATTCTTATTCTGCCAGCTATCGCTTTCAATCCGTCAGAATCCTTTTACCTAGGTATTTTGTCCAAGGTCATCCGAAATCTATGCAGTCCAGTTTTCTTTGGAAATCGATACTACCAGCTATATTTTATGCTTACAACGATGCCATGCTCTTTCTCAGTTCAGCTATATAACTTAATTTTTATTGAACTAAGAACGACATCATCAGAACAATTCTATTTTATTACATTAGCATAGAGATTTGAACTGTATGGAATAATCTCATTATTAAGTGTTGAATCCACCCTCATTTTGAAATTCACGAAAAACTTCAGAACATCTCCATTCTTATTTATATACATTTAATGAAGAAACCTACCGTACACTTTTTTAATGCTTTAAAACACTTTTCAAAAAAGCTGCTTGTCTTACAAATTGAGCTCTGCGTATAAGTTTACAAAACATCCAATCTTTTTAACATAGAAATTTTGAAAGAGTTAAAAATAATTCGAAGTGCTAGCAACAACATATAAATTTATTAATTTCTCACCATCTGAAAAATCATTATTATAATGGAAACTATTCGTTCCTGTTTCTACAGCTATTTTACAAGGAATTATATTTAACTGTATGATAAAGTCTCATATTTCTACCATAATTTTGCAATTTGGAACAAAATGCTCCAGGTTGTTTTGAAATATTCCTGTTTATATTTGCTATCCTCAAGACACTGTTAAAAATCGCAACAAAAGCCATTTGTAATCACGATGATATACTTTGGCAAATGCTTCCGTACATTTGCATTCTGTATCATATGTGCGTTACATTGGTGATACAATTACTCTCCTTATTTTCTACTTTTACTTAATTCTGACTTGAACTTTCAATCACTTCTCGAAATGATTCTAAAAATTTCCTGCTCAACCCATTTATCTTGAACATTACCTCAGAAATTTTAGTGATTACATTTACCCATTGCAACAGGCAGAAGCATCTGTGACTGGTAGGTGAGCAGTAATTAATGTCGGCCATTACTCTTGTTGTCACTGCTTCCATCAAAGCCGCACTTCTGTTATTCAAAAATACGCATATACATCAATCTTCCTGACAAGTACTTATTTCAATAAAATTAAATCAAAGTAATAATATCTTTGCTCATAAACTATAGGATAAGAATATGCTTAATAATGTAGCTAATTCTGTATTCCAGGAGATAATAAGGTGTTCAGATCTTATTCAGCATGACTTGATCTTTCTTACTGTATCTTTCAGGTGATTGGAAAGGAAGTGATTGTGTGTTGTAGTAGCTGCAGCAACTGCACAGGCTGTGGTTACTTCGATAACAGTAGCCTGTCGGTGTGGTGTTCAATCGATGTCTCATGTTGCTTTTACAGCTGAACATGACCAGAACGTAATGCCGTGCAATCGAGGTGAGTATGCAGTCTAAATTTTTTTATTCAGTCTAATTCAGTCTTTTATTTTTTTGGAAAAAAAAACTTTCCTCCCAAAATTTCTTGAAGTACTTCCTTTTATACTGAGACATCGGATTTTGCGGTATTCTGAAAAAGCGGGTTTTCTGGATCCATTAAGGTATATGTGCAATTTTCCAGTTCAAAAATTTATCCCTTCCATACAATTTGCTTATTCTTTCTCAATTTTAATTATATATCAAATTTTTTGAACTTTTCTAAGTATTAATTTCCTTTCCATTTTCTGTTTTCAACAGCTAAACGCTTTTTATGAATATTTTGTTCCCCAAAAGTCACCTATATGTTAAAAACTTTATATCCTCCTTATCTCTTAAAATGCAAAATTTTTAACACGAAAATTCGAAAAATGGATTGCAATATTCTGTAAGCCTGAGTATTATGCAATCTATTTTGCAATTTAGTTGGATTTATCACTAGACGTCATCTGGAAATTTTGAATTTCAATTTTTTTTGAAAATTTGTTGCATTAAAAATATCTGTACTGCCATTAAACTTCGATAGATTATCCATTTATTACTTCATTCTTGCTCTGCGGTTCTTTTCTTAAGGATAACTCAATCAGCTAATTGCGTAAGTCTTGAAATTAGCTTTCACATATAAATATGAGAGGGTGCATGATACAAAGGGAGAGTTGACTTCATCTGCACTACTTAAACTAGGTGTCAGTCACAGCATCACAGAATTAATTTAATTTTGATATTCTCTCGGGGATTCATCTCACCGTCTACTCATTCCTTTTCCCTTCATCAAATGACATGCACGGAACCGATAACACTAACAAAATTTCAATTTACAGAAAAGCGAAATTTCAAACCAGCATTTGAAAAATCATGCAAAAAGATGTATAATTTTTCTTTTAAAATGATTACGAAACAATTTGGATTACCTAGTAATCCATGAATAATGACGTTTACCTCATCTGAAGCTGCTTTTAAGTTCAACTGGAAGAACTTTCTCATTATTTGTTGTGTTCACTGAATCGTTACTCTTTTGAATTACTCTCAACGTAGTTACACAGTAATTGGGTTGTAGGTATTTGTAATATACCGCACAATAAACATTCTGTTTCTTGGAAAATTTTGATCTCAAAATTATGTTGAATGTTATCTCTACATGACATATGAAACATCGACGCTTACCGCGGATAATCGTAGATTTGGATTAAATAGGTTCATTGGATAGAAGGATGGTGATCGCTCGTTCTATTTCTTAATGATATTCATATTGTTTTCTTCCATTCATTCCTTCTTTTCTTATATTCTTACAGTTAACAATTTTGTTTCCAGATTTTTTTTTCAACTTAACGAGCTCCATTTTTCATTATTCGAAAGCATTCTTGATTTATGACGGTTCATTTGATTGGGCTCATTTCATTATGAAAAGCCGTATAATTATGAAAAATTGAAGCATCATGGCACCAGTTTTTATTTTTTTCTCCTTTAAATTTGCGCTTTGATTGAATTCACAAACGCATGGTGTCTTTTTGATTTTCACCTTTAAGCAAAAAGATTTTACACAGAATTTGTTTTATCACTGTTCCCTTTTCCCTTTTCGTTTTCATTCTATGTATATGCCATTTCAAATTTTTTGATAGATCAATTAAATCGTAAAAAGCAGTTGATTGAAACTTAAGAGCGAATTTTTCCAAGCAAAAGGATGATATTGGATAATTTGGCACCTCTACGAGGTTTTTTTTTTTCTTTTTTTTTGTGAAAATTGAATGTTTGACAAAAACCGTTACGAATGAGAAATTTAACGACGTACGGAAGTGTAGGTTGTGTTCCAAGAAGAACTATCCGTGAACTGCATTGTTAACAAATTGCCAATTGTCGTCCAGCAGTATTATTGCCGATTCACATAAATCACGAACCAGTTTTTCTTGATATTCAAAAAGCTCATGAATTTAAGTTGAGACGCATTTAACTCAAGTTCCTTTTAGAAGCCTGATTCCACAAGAAAATTTGCCTCACATAGGATCAAAAAAATTGATATGTATATAATTCAAAAAATATATGCATATATTTGATGAAAAACTCGTGATAAACTTCTATTTACTTGGTTCTTATAAAATCGAACAACGAAGTTTTGTCTAGTTAATGGAATGGGAGAATAAGAATTTACTTTGGAGAAAGTTCTTGGAACAAATTGATTAAATATAATTATGCAGTGATATGATAGAGATAATTTTTTGCTTTCAGTTGTGAAAAGAACGCATAAATCATAAAATACATCATTAATTTTTGCCAAATCTCGATCAGTTATATCAATTTAAGCTTCCTAGTTGCTTGTAATTTGAAATACGGAGTCATAAATTTTGTTTTATTGCATATAAAATCAATCTTTTCCTCTTCCTAAATTATCATAACAAACAATTTGGTTTGAAGGGCAAACAATTATACACTATTTGGTAAGTTTCTTGTTTGTATTTAAAATGACTATCTTCACTTGACAATTTCCACTCTACTTCATCATTCCCCTTTCTCGTTTCCTTTAATATTGATACATCGATGTTGAAATCTAAAGCAGTTATCAGTTGTTTATCATGAGATCTGGAATTTCAGTTGATGAGGTGTTATGATGCATTTTGGCATGTTTTGCTAGAATTAATTGATTGACCGACTGGTCGATGAAATGATTGAATGAGTGGTCGAAGAAATGTTCATTAGTGCTATCGTTAAAATTGAAAAGTGATGAGAAGGAGACGGCGGTAATAATGCTTGATATGTTCTACAAATGTGAGAACATGATGAATGGTCGTTGCAGCCGATCATACGGTTGTTACTAACTGTTATTCCTCCTCATTTTCGAACCGGCTAATTTTCCAGTTTTTACCCTGACATTTACGACGACGACAATGCTTTTTGTGACACGGGGGAACTGATGGTAGTGAACGAGTTTGCCCTTCTGGCATTAACTGATGGCTAGCGTATCGGCAACACTTTCACAACGAACCATCAATATCGTTTGCTATCACCTTGTTAAAGGTCGCAGTAACTCATTCAAATCAAAAAAGTAAGAAAAAAGTCATGAATTTCTACAAAGAAGCTGGGAAGCTTTTTGCAAACATTTTACGTTTTGTTTTGCATAACTTTTTGCAGGCAAATGTAAATTGAATGAAGTCGTGTTCTGGCTATTTTAATTATCAAATTAAGGTGAATTTTATCTAAAGAGTTAGAACTTCTAGTGACTAAACTGAGAATGGTTCTAGTGAAGGTGTTCCCTTTGTATAGAAAGGTGTAAACTGTTTTGTTTATCGCACTATTAATGCAAATTCATCGGTATCCTGAAGTGTCATAGTGCTGAAACAAACCATTGGTAACCTGAGAAGTGTGTCATAAAACCATAAAAATTATTTCAGAGTAAGCAAGTTTAACTCGATGCATTACTGCATCTTAGTCATATGGAGGTAACGCAACGACATTCGGTCTATTTTGATGATTCTATAACAAAAAAGAAGCAAACAAATATAGGTAGGTCATGCTGGTTACTGTATGATGATGCTGAAAGTGGAGGTGTGAAACAGGGATGAATTGGATTGTGCAGATTGGAGTGGGCCCATTATGAAGCGTGATACGTAAATAATGGGGAGGGTATCTGGATAAAATTTGGGTTTGAAAGGTATGTCGGTGAGGTGAAAAGTAAAGGGGGAGATACGGCTCAAATAGGAAGAAAGGCCATTATGATGATTGAGCTGAGCTCCCCCCATTCAGTAATAGGTTGGAGTTGTTTCACTGAAAATAAACCATTGGTGATGATAGATATCCAACACTACCAAACAAGGACAGAGCCCTAAAATTAAATACCTCTTTGGCCTAGGTCTCCTTCTTCAATATTTCCCAGAATTGTGCTGCCCAACTTCAATTATTCTATTTTATTTTCTCTTCATGCATAATCTCCACTTTCAGTACCCGGAATTCCAAACATTTTATAGCAGCGAATAAAGTTGCGTAATACAAACTACAAATGCGAGAAACAGCTTCCTCAATCCTCTTAGAATGTGATAAATAGTTAAAATCATACATAAGTGAAAAGTATCGCCATTACATGACTAATACAATGATATGATGAGAAAAAAAAAGCTTTACGATTCTTTTTCATTGAGTTAGGTGATAAAATTTAGATTAGTAGTTGCAAAAATTAGGTGATAAAATCAGCTTATTGTAACGAGAACCATTATTATAATATGCACCAATTGTTCAAATTGATCTAGTCAGCAATTTTTTAGAGATGGCAGATAAGTATGCTCAATATCCGATCGTTTTATCATATGAAAAACCTGAAAAAATAAGAGGAATTCATAATTTTCTCGGCAAGCTTACAAGTCGCTTTTCGAGGTCGACTGAAATAATTGATCGAGACTAGCTGTATTGATTAATTTTTTTACTGGATTTTTTTCCAGTCTTCCACGGTCACCGTCTGTCACTTTATTGCGATGCGTTACTCATGCACTTTGCAGAGATAAACATAGAGGTCAATTAAAACACACTTATAAGTAAATGGAAACATTTATTAACTGGTACCGTAATCCACTTAAGAAGAACTAAATAATCACCTTCTTGTTTGCATTGCCTATTTTTCAGAAAATTACTAGGACCTTTGAAGAGAGAGTCAAAAAATCTGATAAAAGGAAGTTATGGAGAGACATTTGTATTTCACTTAATGTTATGGATAATGTCACTACTTCTTGAAGATTTTTTTTTGCATGATAATAATAAAACAAGCAATGAAAATGACAGGAATAGTGAAACCTCATTTAATAAAACGAATTATATCTCTAAAAAAAATTTGAATGAAATCGTATAACACTTGCAGTTTGTGAAGCATAATTTTAGAATAATGATTCGAATTCAAAGTTTTTAAATTAATAGAAATTTTCATTCAGAAAACCTCATGAAGATTCTTTTCATGATATGCACTCAATTTCAAGTATTTATTTGCTATTATACAATGAATACTGGAATAACCTATCTCTTCAAGCTTTTTTTCAACATTTTCAAATTTAAATTTAAATATAATTGAAAGTCCATTTTTTTTGTCTTAAAAAAGGAGCCTTATAACTGTATAAATGTCTCAAGATGTGACCAATTTGCAGTGAAGATATGAATAGTGACATTTGTTTATGTGCGCTTACAGTAAATGATGGTGGTCTCAATGATTGCATGACGAAAAATACTTTGTCCAATTTCTCGATAGAAGCAGACAGTTAGCTCACCGGGGAATGATTGATGAGGGCTTCTCAGAGCGCGTCAGCATCTAGAAAGAGACCCCCCACAGCTAGGCCAGATTCCATGGCGGCTACTGTTTTCATATTGATCCATCATTGCTGGAATTTTTGTTACCAAATCATAAGGGCCATTTTCTTTACTGTCTACTACAAAATTAATTAATAAGTGTAATGATGTCCAAATTATTTGCAGTTAGAATTCTACTTGGCTCTTTTCCAGTCTCATTTTCTGCTTAGCATTATAGATTTATTATCAAAATTCGAATAAGCCCGGTAATTAGGCGAGGAAATACATCACATGTTTTGTTTAGTCAGAATTTTATTAACAGCAAGTGATGATTATGATTCAATTTTTATTTGCTATTAATTTTATCAAATTTATAAAACAAACAGTGCTACCCACTTCTTAAGCATACTGTCATTCTTATGCACGATTTTTCACCAGACATAGCTCAACGTTTGCGTTCCGGAAAGGTTTAAAAAGGGAAGAGGTTATGATAACGGTGCCTTTGTTTTTCTAATTTCTCGTTAAGGATAGCCCGAACACTGCATTTTTTACTTGTTCGATTTTGCTGAGAGTGATGCTTTGCTGTGCTGCAAAAAGACCAAGCTATCATGCTTGGACAAATTAGATCGGACTATGATTACATTAGTTGATTTCTAATTCGCCAAAATTTTGACTTTCCAAATTTGTCAGTTAAAAGTTTTAAACAATAAGGAAGTGAATTATGGCATAAATAATTGCGTTGGTGGTTTGTTTCACTTCAAATTTATTTTGATCGCTTCGTTACGAAAAATAGAAATACACTTTGTTAACAGCATTTTAAAAGTTGATATAATGGTCATAAGGTCCAGGATTAGTAGCAACATAGTCGATATTGATAATTCAGCTCTAATTGGACAATAAATTCGTTACCGTTTGTGAATTAATTGGAGCTCAACGAAAGGATCAAAAAGATGAAACATATGGCAGATTGAACGAGCTGTTCGCTTCAGGGATTAGTCGCCCAAATCCTAAAATAATGCTAATTTTGTTCAGAGCGGTACGTCTATGCTCCCGACAAGAAAGAGCGCTTCTACTTCTACTTCTGTTATTGTATGCAATCCACTGATCTAGGGGTTTACAAATATAAATTATTGTTACTGTACCTTAAAAAAAGGTTTTCATCTCCGACAAGTTACATTTCAAATGTATATATATGCAATTCCAAATGTTACGCTATCTTTTGAATGATGTTGAAAGCTTTTCAGGACATGGTAATAAAAACTGCTCTAATTTCAGTGCAATAATCAGTTGAGGTTAATGATACTCGATAACTCAAATTAGCATGTTTGAGACAGTCGAAAAAGTACAAATATTTGAAATAAGTTTAATTGAATTAATTTCTTTGTGTGATCATTTATTTTTTATTGAGTTAATTTGAAATGAAGTAGAAAGAAAATATAATTTGAGATAATAATCAAGGAGATGGATTGTATAGAGAATAATATAAAAGAAATGCGAAGAAATGGCAATGACCCGTTAAAGTTAATCCCATTTAGTGCTATAAAAGGATATGGTGTTACCTTGATGTCTTCTCCCACATTATTATTGTATAGCATCGATATATTTGTTGTGGTGGAATAATTGGTAGTATTGAGAAGTATTTTCTTGACAGTAAATTATCTGATAATTCATCATAATTTGCTGTGAGGAAAGCGACTAAAATGACTGAAATTTCAGTTATCGCGACTGAAATTTACTGAAATTACGACTGAAATGACTGAAAAAAAATGACTGTGATTTCAGTCATTTTCCAGAACTGAAATCTGTCAAATGAAAATAAATTTTAATTAATGATCGCATTTGCCACATTTAATTTTCATATTACATAATTAAAGTGACACATCACACTTAGTAACTATGCAGTAAAATTATATTTTTAATATTCGAAACATGTTCGAAAACTTTATTATGGTTTTTCATACTCAATCATTAGCATATTTATAGATATATTTGAAAATAGAATATTTGAAGCTTCTTAAAAACACTATGATTAGTAAGTGTACATAGAATAAGGCAATATTGTACTTTGATCCATTCTAGGCAGTAATTTAGTAAGCAACATACGGAATTTACTTTTAATTTTGTGTTTTATTTACATATAACAGGAAAAAATGAAGTTACCTTATGTTGGGAGATAAGAAATGTAAGCTTCATTCTTCGAGAAAATGCGATAATTGCAATTATCACAGACGATCAAAAATTTTCAACGCAATTTGTATTAGACCATTTGAAGAACCAATAATTTTCCAGCATAATTTCAACAAAAATAAAAACGCACTTTTGCACATTTACAGCTTTAGCAAGGAAAATCGGGAAAAGTAGACTTACTTATTTGGTGATCATTTCAGTCACAAAAAAAGCATAATATAAATAATAAAATATATTATTGCATATTTATAAGTCTGTTTATTCATTTACGAGGTGATTAAATGCTAATCTACGACTTGATGAAGTAATAAGCAAACTGTCATTAATCTTTTTTCTTTCTAAATTGTAGCTATAGATAGTTATATTTGTTCTTTTTTAAGCTTTCAGCACTGAAATAAAGTCTTTAAAATCTTAAACAAATGGATTACCACTGCATATCAGATCCTCTTCGAATCTGTTTGCAGATTCAGGACATACAGGTGTTAATCAGCTCGGTGGAGTATTTGTGAATGGTCGGCCATTACCTGATTCAACGCGCCAAAAAATCGTTGATCTGGCACATCAAGGAGCTCGACCATGCGATATTTCGAGGATCTTACAAGTTTCTAATGGGTAAAGATGTGATTGCTCTTCTTTTTCAAAACCTAGTCCTTTATCTGTAGGAAATGTGACCAGGCCAGAAGTATGGACTTACAACTGCTATATAATGTCAAAATACAAAAAAACATGTTCAAAAATGGGATAAACTGAATCTTCTTATTTGATTATGGATGATATATTACGTTTGGTGATTGGGTAATTACAGTAAAAGAATTTCAAAGGAAAGTTCTACTGACGAAATCGAATTTTAGGATTTCAAATATTATAATAGTTCGTGAAGGGTGCAATGAATTGGTTTCGTTCAAGCTGATAAAAATACGAAAACCATGTTTTATTAATTGCGCACTGCTTTTCTACACTTCATTATGCCTTGATTAGTTTAAATTCCTGAGGCTAAATGATTTCTAGAAGAATTCATGTTGTGGGCGATTAAATAAATTCTACTTTTCTTTCACTTTCGGACAACTTTGAAGATCAAATTTTCTTTACTAATAGTAATTTTATTAGCAGCAAACCCCAGCTGAAAGTCCCGAAATTAAATTCAAAAAATTTTTTAGTTGTGTATCGAAAATTTTGTGTCGATATTATGAATCGGGTACAATTAGGCCACGAGCGATCGGTGGATCGAAACCTCGTGTTGCGACAGTCAGTGTATGCGATAAAATTGAAAGTTATAAACGCGAACAACCATCTATTTTTGCTTGGGAAATACGGGATAAATTATTACACGAGAAAGTGTGCTCCCCTGACACAATACCTAGCGTAAGTTTTGCAATATTTAAATAATTAATATTTCTTGAAATTAAGATCGTAAATTTTAGGATTCTCTTCAAACGCTATGTTTCTCGAAGAATTTAAAAATTAACCTTTCGTGCAGCAGATATTTTCGATTTGTAATTTATTATTGTAACAAAGTTCAGCAACTAATTAATTCAATTATTTTATTCCAAGGAACATAACGTTAGGTTTTGCGTTATTCTGTTTTAGATACATGTTGGATTCAGTATTCATTTTTGAACTTGTTTCATAAAACTTGAAAAGCTTCAATCCATTTTTGTAAATTCTCTTTCTCTTTGACGAAGTTTGTAATACAGAATTTAACTCCTCACTCAAGTGCAGATAGCCAACACATTATGTTTTGTTTCGTGGAAGATCTCCACGGTAACTGATTGAATGGACGAGTTAATTTTGAATTTGTCCAAAATTTTTAAATACTATTGCAATTAGTAAAGTAGGTGCTGAAGAAAAAGCAAAGTATTTGATATTTCAGGACGATTTTTAAATCGAAGACTATTCATTTGATTATCTTTTTGATGGCATTTCTCTTCAAATTCCTTCTAATATCAATCTTTACACATGTTTTAATCGTATATATATATATATATATGCATTTTATATATATATATATATATATATATATATATATATATATAT